GGTTTATTTCTTGAATAGATAGTATTTCCCTTGAGAGTTTCAAATATATACTCCTCAAAAACTTCAGAAATGTGGAAAATAGCTAATTTCCAAGAATCATGTATTAGAGGTAACTGTGCAGGGCTTGGGCAATCAAGGCCTATTGTTAATCCTTTAATGCAACAAAGAATGAAATTAGAGCAGAAATATATAAATTCCAAAGTCACCTTTAAAGAGACCAGCAAAATGATTCTTGGCTCCCAAAACAGAAACCCAACTAAAACAAGATAATAAAACTGCAGTTTCCACTAAGGTACCAAGGATTGTTGTATACCAAGTGAAGGTTCCACACCAAAATTCAGAATTTACAAAGAAAATTAATCAAAAGCAGTGACGTGACTCAGACTTCTCTCAGTCAGATTACGACTATAAAAAGAGTGAATGGAACAGTGAGTTCTCTACTGTGAAGAGAGGACATTATGAAGCTTTGTAGACTGAACTATCCAAGTGCTGAGAGTACACCCATGCCTTCACAGCATGCTGAGTGAAGAGCTCAATGGGCCTATTCAGTGATCTAAATATGTGATCCTTGAGGTGGGGGTACAGTGGATTGCCACCTTGGGAAGTCTAGAGAGCAGAAGAAGGAGAAGCCACGCTGATCACTGAGATAAAAATGCACAATCAAGGCAAAAGTCAGCAACTCCAGCAAAACAGAGGTAGGCTGCATCCAAGAGCCAACAGAAGGGTGACCTTTGGTTCAGTCCAACAGTGACCCTAAGTAAGCCAAAACAAAGTCATATGTGGACCTCAGTTCCTAGGAACTAAGGAAGAGTCACCAAATAAAGCCCACGAGCATAAACATGAACCCTTCCAGGCCAGGAGTCTCTCAAGAGTTTCTAAAGAGCCCACAAAACAGAGTCTACTTTAATCATGTGCCAGGCTCAGAGAGTCACATAAGAACTACCTTAGTTCCTCACCATTCTTCCTTCTCCCACTCCGCCCAATCCAGAAGCCAGTAAAGTCAGAAACAGGAAATCTAAGAGACAGAGATCTAAGCAGAAGTCAATCTTGCTCTCACAGGCGATGGTTACCAACCAGAAGTCTTAACTGAGAGAAAGTCTTATCTTTGAGTGAAGACTGAAGTGTTGATTAAAATACTGAATTGGATACTTCTAATTTTTAAATTGAGTCTATGTTTTTTATAACTTCTATTACCTAAGATTACAGCTACCTGAATGTACCTTTTGTCTTTTACTTACTACTGAATCCCAAGCACCTAGAAGGATGGCTGGCTGACAGGAGTGCTGATTAATCAACTGTTAAACCAGTAACTTGAAAAGTGAGCCAAACCCTGGACAGTGTGGTTCAGTTGGTTGAGCATCGTCCAAGGCACAAAAGTCCACAGGGTTCAATTCCCAGTTGGGGCATATACCCAGGCTGTAGGTTCAATCCCTGGTAGGGGTTCAAGCGGGAGGGAGCTCAATGTTTCTCTCTCTCCCTTCCCCTCTCTCTAAAATCAACTATATATATATAGTGAGCCAAGAACAGAGCCATGTCACAGTGGGTGACCATCCAAGAATCACTCATTAATTGCAGAAGGCTAAAGAGAGAAGGAAGGTGAGAAAGGAAAAAAAGTGAAGATCATCTTTCAAGAAGCTTGGTTGAAAGAAGAAATAAAGGAGTCAACAGTGGGAAGGTTCAGGATAGGGTCAATGGAAGCATTATGCTTCTGCATTTTTAAGCCTCAGAAGAAAAGTCCAATTAAAAATTTTTAACTCTGATTAGGAAGAGCTTTACACATATTAACTCTTTTAATCTTCACAACAATTCAACAAAATAGATAATATTATCTCCTTTCCATAGGTAAGTGATCTGAAGTACTTGGGGATCTCCTGATAATCCCTATAAAGCAGCCACAGGAGAAAGCATCAGCTTTAACCAGGTGTCAGGCTCATTCTCTCAGAAGAGAGAATATAGGCGTGGCACTAGAAAATGCAACAAAGAATGAGTTAAAATAGGTTGGGGTGAGCCCCAGTTAGGAGAAGGGTGCTTCATTCTTTGAGACTGGGGGAAAGGAACGAAGTTTGTATGCCCAATAAACTTATTCATCCCTCAAAAATCAGCACCTACATTGGGAAGTCTTCTTTAACAACTGTGAAAGTGGGGGTATAAATGAGTTAGGGAGAGGCTATGTCCAGATAATAGTCCTTATTTTTTGCATGGGTTATGAGTGAGATGGGTAGAGACTGGGCATAGTCTTGAGGACAGGGATGAAAGGGAAAGAGTAACGGAGATGACAAAATCCAAGAAATTAACTGAGCAATCATGCCGATGACCCGGCTCAGATTAGACAACGTACATTAATACGAGGTTGGGGTTTTGCTAGGTGAGTATAGCAGGACAGCAGCACCAGGTCTCTGAGTCTTGATGAGAACACAACTCAGGGAATTAACTATAGGTTCAAGACTAGATACGGAAGATGCCAGAAGTGAGCTGTAATTTGGAGACGACGAGGGAATCAAGAGCCTGGCAATCAGAGTCACTGTAGTGAAAGACAGTGAAGCAGTTGGAAAGTTTATAACAAACAAGAGCAAATCAAAATGCCCTTCCCTTGATGCATTGTCCTGGTGGCCCCCGCTTTCCTCAGTACTTGAAAAATGCCCTGCTATGCCTGTTTCAGAGTTTTTGTGCTTGCAGTTCCCTTTCTGCAAAATGCATGTTTTTTCAACAAACTGAAATAGCTAGCTCCTTCTCACCACTGGGGTCTCAGCTCAAACGTCACCTTCCCAGTTATCGTCCCTGACCACAAATGCTAAAGCAGAATTCCACCATAACCTGTCCCTACCATTACCCTCTTATTTTTTTCATGACACTTATCACTATGTGAAATCACATACATTAATTATTAACCTGTCTGATGTTGGTCTCCTTTATCCTGCTTACCACTTTACCCTCTGTACTCAATGTGTGGCTTATATGGGTACTCAACAGACACTTTTTGAATGAATAAATGAACTGGGGGAGCAAATGTAACACTAAAATACCATTATCTACTAGTCACAAAATGTGGCAAATGTGGTGGTAGGAAATGGCAGGGATTTTTCCCTCAGAATGTTGCTCACTACCCATGGGGGCACAGGTAGGCAGGTTATTCTTCCTCAGGATATTTAATCAGGATGAGAACTCTGACTTACCGAAGAGGCACACTTCTTACCTAAAGGAAATCACTTCCCTCTCAGTGGGTAGCTTGGCAAAGAAAAATTTTAAAGCAGGGTAACTGCTCACACCCAGGCTTGCCAAAAGACTACTCCTGGAAAAACTGCTTAAACTCCACTGTAAGCACTGTAAACACTGGGACCAAGACTTGTTCAACATCGCATTCCCAGCACCAAGCAGCTTTTGGTTCACAGTAGAAACCCAGAATGTTTGTTAAATAAGCACATGTGATATGGTCTTCTGAGGAATGGCCATCCCATCAACTCCTACGCTGAGGATACACTTATTTTAGAAACAGAGCAAGACAGCTAAGAAGCCCTTGGCCTAGGCCTCTCCCTGGGCAGCAGTTTGGTTCCTAGAATTCAATACTCATCTACCCTGCGCCACAGGTAATCAAGTACTACTTTCCCCGGAGTCACCTTGTATCAAATTTGTATCTATTTTGCCAATATAAGGGTTAATACAGTATAGTAACCAATGACGGATTTCACTTGCCTTTTTAATTTTATATGTATTTTGCTCAGCAAGGAAGGATAGCTCAAAACACTGAAAGAACAACTAAAATTGAAGAATTCTACCATTAATTTTGTATCTACCAGTGTATGGCTCACTGTGCAATCCCAGGAAAATCATATCACCCTCTTGACTCTCAATTTCATCAACAGTCATAATGTTCTTTATCCAAAGGGTACTCTGGAGAGAACTGATTCGCTAGCTAGGACTTAGTTGTAATGTACTCTGAGGCCAATGCTTGAAAGATTCCATAAATAGTATTAATTATGAAACAAGGGAAATCATAAATATTAAGCCCACTTCAAAACCTGAGAAGTGAGGAAGATTTAAAATTATGCCTGCGGCTCTGATGCTAACTCACTCTCACACTAAAACATGTATTCTCAAAAAAAATATTCCTAACATTCACAACAGAGCCTTACTATTTGGAAATGTCAACTGCTTCTGTACTTTGGCAAGATTAACTTCACATGTATAAAGATATGAAGTACTAACAGTGACAAACAATTGAAAATTTACACCTGTTCAAACAGTTTACCTTTGCTGTATCAGTGCCTAATCTCAGTGCTGTTTAATTAACACACAGTCCACCTTACCAAAAGTCAATAAACTAAACAATTCCAGTGAGACATTGTTTAAAAGGTTATATATACTTCTCTGCCCTCTATCTGCTGACCACCGCTGACAAGTAAAATATCATAGCAACATCCAGCCATAAGGTCCACGACTTCCTAACTTCCTTCCACTTTAAAAGTACTTTAATGAGGTTTTGTTTGTCTAAAAACTCTTACGAGGGAGTTAGAGAGAAATCTAAGTAAAACTGAGAAGTCAGTTCCTGAACCAGAGGCTGGAATTTACAACCGGGGAGGGCCAGCTGGTTCTTCAGCCTAAATGAATGGAGCGAAGGTGACAGGAAGGGGGCAGGCTTCCAGCGTCGCCTCCACCTGGGCCGCCGCTTCCTTCAGGCCGACGCGCGCCCCGCTGAGGGCAAGGGGCCGGCGGGAGACCACCGCGACGCCCAGCCGCAGTCCCCGGAGCACCTGAGCATCGCACCTGCGGCTCACAGGCCGGGGCCGGCGCGGGACAAAGTCGCCATCGCCTTTCCAAGCTGAGGTGGGGCGATGCCCACTGCCTGCCACCGGCAGGAACCACCAGGGTGCGGGCTCCGGGATGGAGGATCGGCCCCCGAACCTCCAGCAACCCCAAGGGCCCCCGCTGCCTCCAAGCCTCCTCAGGGAGGTGCGCAGGGTGGCGTGTAAGGGACAGTCAGGATGGCGGTGGCCTGTACTCACAAAGCCCACTGGAACCGGTGCTGCTGAACATGGTCCCGCCTGACCTGGAGCCCCCGAAGGGGGACTAGGGGGAGGGGAAGCAGAGGTGGAGAGACCGGCGACGCGCAGGCGCACTACCCGCGGGGCGGCGAATCCGGCAACTGGATTCCACTTCAGGAGCTGCCTGTGAAAAGCGCATGCGCGCCCTCTGGGGCGCACCGCTCTGCCTAAGCCCTCCCTTCCTGCTTGGGAAGGGAAGTGCGTCCGCCGCGATGGGATCCACCTTTCCAGGTTTTTTCGACGGCCGCCGGCGCCCCTGAATGGGCTGGAGTGGGAGGAGCGAAGGTGTACCTCCCGGGAGCGCGCTCCAGAGCTCGGCTCCTCCCTCACGCCCGGCGGAGCCGCGAGCGCGGCAGGCTCCTCGGGGGCGCCGGCGCGGGAGCGTTCCTCGCGACCTCCAGCCTCTGCCGGGACCGGGCGCCTGGCGCTTTCCACGCATGCTCAGTCTTTCTTAGGCAGCCCCCGCAAAGCTCCTCCTGTTCTGTTCTTTTTAAGCGTTAAAGAGGTTCCAAGACCAAAAGGTATGAGAATTGCTGTAATAGTTCATAAAGCGCTCTGAAGTTTAAAAAAACGAGGACAAAAAGCCAAACCATTCATTTATTTATGTTCAGTTCTGAAAACGTTCTTAGCAACTAAAGGCATGATAGTATGGCATGCAGACCTTGCTTGAAAGTATTTTCAATGATCCAAACCTTGTCTGTACGTCTACTCTGTACGCGTTAACTGGTAGAAAGCTGTAGGTTTGTCTTCCAAGAAGCAAGTGCTGTCCTTGGATGGGCTGCATGGGCTTCACCTGGGATCTTGTTTGGACTAGAAATGCTAGACCCTACCCCAGAACTATTAAATCAGCACTTAACCCCCGCCCCCAGCTGACTTGTATGCAAATTAGTTTTTGAGAGGCACTGGTGCAGCGATTCTCAAAAGGGGGCGATTTTGGCCTACAGGGAAAATTCCAATATTTGAAGACAGTTTTGGTCTTGGGAGAGAGGGCTGCTACTGGCATCTAAAGGACAGAGGCCAGGGATGCTGCAAATATCCTACAATACACAGGGTAGCCTCCCACGATAAAGAATTCTCCTACCCAAACTGTCAATAGTGCAGAAACTTTACACTAGTGTAATTCATTCAACCAATATCATGCAGTCCCAGGTCTCTCAGTGTATATCATTTCTATTGTCCTTGCCTATATTTCCACCTTGTCTTTCTCTAGATTGTATTATGGAGAACTAATTCTGTCAGTTACTAGGGAGCGCCCTTTGCCTTGCTGTGTCTTGTCGAATCTGCTTACTACATTGGGGTAATAGTGGTAGTTTGAAAGGGTGAACGCTTAGCAGAAAAGGAATGTGTCTTACAAAATGTTATATCCTAACCCATTTTGAGTCTCTTGGTGTGGAGGTATTGCCTTCCTTTAATAAAATTAAACACAGCATCTCTAAGATTTTGGCAGATGAAGGAAAATCTCCAGGTGAGTCCTGGGAGAAGATTGCCGACCAACATCCCTGACAAGTGCCTTTCTTATGTATTTTACCCTTCCTTTAGCACTAGTGTTCCTTTCATATAGCAGAGATAGGCTAGAATTTTTCTTGAACATTGTTAAGTAGTAGAGGGGTCAACAAAACAGCAAAAATAAGAATCATATACTTCCAAAGTATTGAATTCTGAACAGATGGCAGCTATTGTGCCTAAAGCTTAGAGGCCATATCCTTTTCTGCATTTTGACTGAAGAGCCCCTTTCCAAATTCCCAGAAATTCTATCAGCAATCTTTCAGAGGAATCAGTAGATGATGGGTAGGGTTGATGGTCAATGCTTGGATAAAATAGTCTTCATACTGCTTCAAATGCACTTTCAGCATATAATATCTGTGAAACTAATATTTATAAGAAAATATGTCTGAAAGCTTTTTAAAGAGTAATTGCAACTTTTTAAAGATTCAGTAGCATTCATAATAGATGTTTACTGAGCAGGGGGCATTTTGGAAGTTCTTGGGTAGTTTTGGTTGTATAGTGAATTGGATACTGCATTGGGTCCAGTGATGCCAAACACAGTCCTTTTCAAAAACAGAACTGCTCTCTTTCCTAACCAACTTTTGAGTCTCCCACTTCATGTTTCTTATGTTACCAAGTAGCCTATTTGTATTTGAGTCTGGAACCAATTACATTTTATGTGTAAACATCTGTGCTTTGCAGAGTTTTAATTCATGCAGAATTTTCCAGGAATACAACTATTATACTGTTTTGGTTGCTATTTGGAACTTAATCAAGAATTGTTCACCAACTCAAAAAAACTATATCATCTACATTAACACTGCTCATTGCATTTGAGTCCCCAGTATCAGTTTATGTTATGGCTGTTCCTTTTAGTGATTCTGTATCTTTCACAAAGATGTACTAAGTTAGCCCTTATTTTTAAAATCATATATATAATGTTAAATATTAAGTAAAGGTGTTGAGCAGCAAAAAACCAAATAACCCAATTAAAAAATGAGCAGAGGACCTGAACAGACACCTCTCCCAAGAAGATATACAAATAGCCCTAGCCGGTTTTGCTCAGTGGTTAGAGCATCGGCCTGTAGACTGAAGGGTCCCGGGTTTGATTCCTGCCAAGGGCACATATCTCAGTTGCAGGCTTGATCTCTGAGGGGTGTGTGTGGGAAGCAACCAATCAATGTGTCTCTCTCGCATTGATATTTCTCTCTCTCTCCCTTTCACTCTCTCTGAAAAGCAATGGAAAAAATATCCTTAGGTGAGGATTTAAAAAAAAAAGAATATATACAAATAGCCAACAGATATATGAAAAGATGCTCAACTTCACTAGCTATTAGGGAAATGCAAATCAAAACCACAATGAGATATCACCTCACATTTGTTAGTATGACTATTATCAACAAGACAAGTAATAACAAGTGTTGGAGAGGTTGTGGAGAAAAAGGAACCCTCACTTACTGCTGGTGGGAATGTAAACTGGTACAGTCACTATGGAAACAGTATGGAGCTTCCTCAAAAAATTAAGAATATAGTTACCATATAACCCAGCAACCCCTCTTCTGGGTACCTACCCATAAATTTGGAAACATTTATTCATAAAGATACATATACCTCTATGTTCATTGCAGCATTATTCATAGTGGCCAAGACATGGAAACAACCAAAGTGTCCTTCAGTGGATGATTAGATAAAGAATATGTGGTACATATATACAAAGGAATACTACTCAGCCATCAGAAAAGATGAAATATTACCATTCGTGACAACATGGGTAGATCTTGAGAATATCATGCTAAGCGAAATAAGTCATACAGAGTAAGTCAAGAACCATATGATTTCACTCATATACAGGATATAAAACTGAAAACAACCAATTAACAAACAAGACAAACAAACAGAAACTCATAGACACAGACAACAGCATGGTGGTTATCAGAGGGAATGAGGGGGGTGAGGGGGGGAGGTAGATAAAGGTAAAGGGGGTCAACAGTAACAGAAGGAGACTTGACTTTAAGTGGTGAACACACAATATACAGATGTGTCATAGAATTGTGCACTTGAAGCCTGTATAATTTTATTAACCAATGTCACCCCAATAAATTTAATAAAATTTTAAAAAGAAAATATGTTAGAAATATTCAACATAGTTGTTGTTTTTTAATTCATCTAGATTAAGTGAATATTTTATTTTTTTTTAAAGATGCAGAGTTGGCAAAGAAACTTCAGAAATTTATGGAAAGTTTGAAAATCATAGTACTATCCCTGAAATGTTCCTTTAAATCTAATCTGAAGGACATAAGGTATCATTTCTTATAGAATAGCACAAATGATAGTATCTGTGATCATCCAAACAATAGAAATTAATTTTACCAGCTGTAAAAGAGGTTATCATTATGATAGTAAGAGATTTTAACGATTTCTTCTATTCTGTTGAGAAATAACATTGTATGAGAAATCCAAGGAGGTAGAAAATAGGCTATGAAATGATCTTCAGTCAGGAGAATGTTTGTTGCAAGTAAATGCAAGTAACTTGTATGGTAACGAAGCTTTGCTGACCACAAATGTAAAATTCATGGGAATAAAAACATTGAGCAGAAAATATGATTTCCTTATGTACAGACAATGGATACTAAGAGTTGTGAAAATTGGAAATTATTAAAATAATTTTACAGGGAAACTTTTCCTTTTTCAATATCATTGTGCAACAGATGGAGCAGCTAGTAACATGGGTTTATAAACAATTTAAGAGTAACAACAGCCACGTTAGCAAGTCATTGAATTATTCATTAACACCCTCGGCCAACGAAAGTTTTAGCACAAGACCCACAAATCAATGAATGCTATCAGTGCTAGTAATAAAATTAAAGTTTATGCCTTTTATAAATGATCATTTTGTAATCTTTGCAGTGACTTTAAAAGGAGTTTGCCTTATCCTATATATGGAAGTTAAATAGCATTCCAAAGAAAAGCTTTTAAATATTTAATGTATTTTTTAATACTAACATGCAATATTTGTTTCAATCAAAAAAAAATTAAATAGTGATATCAAAATATTATGAAGTGACTTGATACATATTTCATATGTATTAGAAATGTTAAATGAAGTCCTTAAATCACAAGCAAATGAGACTGATATTGTTAAAGAAGGATTATCATGAGATTTTTCAACAAACTTACATCATTTTAAGAGGTTTCTTGCCCAGAATTTTCACTGTTCTTTTATTTGTAGCAGATAAAACTAGATGTAAGCTACTGGTTTTGAATTATATTGCTAATTTTGATGCTATTTAAAAATGTACAATAATTAGATCTAAAGATCAGTGTGGATTTATAATACCAGATCAGGTGATTAATACACTTGAGAATTATGCAACATATTAGTCAATGTTTGCAGGAAATGTTAATTGGGATAAAACATGATTTGGGTGACAAAAAAGTATTCTTTAATCTAACTACAAAAAGTTTTGAATTCAGCTAAGACTTTCACTCGTCCTTCTTTAACATGGGAGCTACATTATTTATTATAGTATTTCCAATGCATATTTACATGAAAAGGATTTAAGT